ATTGTAAGGCATAATAACAGAGGGCCCATAAACGTAAATAAATAAAAATTTTCCCGTTTTTCCTAATTAGGATAGTTTTACTTTTGAACTTGAAAATCGTCACACGTTTCAGTTCACGTCAGAAAAAAAACATTAATAATATTAAACCAATAAAGTAAAATCTTAGCAATGCCACATGACATCTCCTTTAGCCAATAAAACTTTAAGATATTTGCCATTTGCTTAATTGGAAAACAGGAATGAGACATCAGCAGACATTATGCTCTCAAAGCACGATGGTATGGAGGACAAAACCAGCAAAAACAACAAATAAATACGCAAATATAAAAATAAATGATTAAATAAATCCATAAATGCCTGCATAAACAAAATAATAGCCTAAATGAATAAATAATAAATATTCAAATAAATAAAAATCCTCAAATTCCTGCATCAATAAATATTTAAATAATGAATAGTGCGGGCAGGTGAATAATAATTGATAATTGGTCGTTAAATATATTTAATAAATAATTTTATGACGGACGCATAATCAAACATGCGAGGTAATTTTTTCGTGCACGCGCATAGCCATGTGCGCGCGGCCCGGTCCGGTCCACTTATCTTAGTTTACAGCTGCTAGCAGCATATAATTATAATGATGTAAGTTGCAGCTCTATGCCCGGGAAAAGACAGTAGTCTGGAGCCGAGAAGAGGAAGAAAGTACAAGATGAATCGTGTGCATCACTTTCAGGTAATAACAAGTAAATTAGTGAGGCTAGCTAACGTTTAAACTTCGCCACAACTGCTATGCATTGTGCTTTAGACGGGACATGCTCCATGAATTTTCACGTTTGCCCCTCTTCCCCATGTTGCTGATAATTTCACAAACTCAATTATTGTTATTAACTCGTGCATTACTTTACAATTCTGTTTGCACACCAGCTACATGCACAATCAATCCACTGTTTCTTTTATTTATCATTATATAGTTATTGTGTTATATAATTATATATTATATCATTCTTTGCAAACTGCAGTTAGCATTGTTTATTGTTTTGTCTATTTCTACATTTCTTATTCTTCTGTTGTTATTGCTTGTATCACTGCATTGACAATAAAGTCTCTTTAGTCTTTTTAAAATAACAAAACTGACGAATATTCTGTGATTTCTGAAAGATCAATAATATAAAATGAGTCAAATTACTGTAAGCCACATGCCAGAAACCATTTTTATTGCATGAAGTCAATAACAATCATTTTTTTCTGAATGTTAAAGTTTTTGTTCAAAAATAAACTAATTAATTCTTAAAAACACAACTGTCTTTGATTTATACTGAAAGAAAGGGTCAGCTTTTGTCACCATAGATTACAGTGCAGATTAAATCCACATTTTGATTGTAGTTTGTAAACATTATGAAGTGCTTGACCTGCCTATTGTTTTAATAGTATGTCATGAGTTTTTCTTTAAATGACTAATTTCTTCTGTATTGTACATGGAGGTCAATGCCAACATTTGTTCCAAAAGAAGATGGGGCGGCCTGATCCAGCACTGCTCCAGAGACACCAGCAGCTGCACAGGTACAGACACAGAATGCAGCACTGAGGACCGTCAATCTCTACAGGTACAGAGAGAGCTTTATTCCTTACCTTTTGTAAATGTTTGAAATTAGGAATGTGTTTTGTTTGTGTGATTTTGCTCCTCTGTGGGGGCACCACAGTAAAATTTAGCATAGGGCACCCTTCTGGCCAGCAGCAGCCCTGCTCATTAGCATGTTGACTTGAGGAAAAGTAAATCTGGAACTACACTGTCAGAAAAAAGGGTACGGTTGGGGTACATTTGTGAATACTTGGGGTACAAATGGTGAAGTTGTACCCTCAATGGTTCAAAGTAGCACCCTAAGATACTTATATGTACCATTTAAGGGTAAAAATGGTACAAATATGTTCCCAACTGTCAAAGGGTCCATGTTTGGGCCATTTAAGGCCCAAAGAAAGGTACAATCACTTGTGTGAAAAAGGAGCAAGTCAACGTGTATGAAATGGTCCTTCATTTATGTTATGAGTTGTTGGTTATTTGGAAGAAATGCACAAAAAAACTTTACATTAACAATAAAATGATTTAATTATATAAAACATGGCCTTATAAATATTATAAATTAATATTTTTGATTTAAGAAAATGTTAACATAAATCCGTCTAAATGTAAAGTGAAATGGCTTATTATACACAGACCTTTCTTTGATTATCAGATTTAATAAACTACTAGAATAAACATACAAGTATAAAGTAGATATATACAATAGGAATTAAAGGTAACCAGCTTGGTAAACAAAGACAGAGAACAACATTGTAGCATTAATAAATAAATTAATTAATAAAACAATTATAAAACGTAACAGAATAATACTGCCAAAATAATACAGCTGAGAACAAATAATAGATTTAAAAGACCAAAAAAAACTGGCCGTTAGATATACACAAAATGTATTAAATATCGTGTTTTAACTACAAGGGGGAGATTGAATCCAGCGGCAGATCCGAGATTGACTGGCTGAAGTAAAAGCTGCTGTCGGCGGGGGAGAGAATCATAAAGCTCCCGCTGACAGAGTCCGCATTCACTGAAGCACATTGTCAAAGAAGCGCTGTCTTTTTTAAATGAACTGCCGATTCGAGTTTAAAACAACTACATTCTCGCCTGAAATACTCTTAAAACTACATTTTGTGACACATTAGATTATATTTTTTTAAAACTTGCGGGTCTGCAAAGCGGGGATTATCCATTGACTTTCGCTTAGCATTAGCAGGCAGCCAGCAGATTTGAATTCGTGTTGTCCAATAGGATTTTGCCCGCGCCGTGCATTCATAATGCCAGCTGATTACGTGCGACGGTTAATCTCCAGCTGTTGCACTGCTATTCTGACGCTCTTCTCGCCGCCGACGGAGGATGGACCTGAAGGACTCAAAGAAGCTGGAATACGCTCGTGAAGACGAAGCACAGACATTTGCAGGTACGTTTAATGTTAAATAACTTATTGTAAATATCCGTTGGGTCATATTCAATTCATAATTGACGTTACTTTGCCTTGTGTATGTAACTTAGTTAAGATTACCGTCGAGTTACCTGCCGCGTGAGGGGACCCTTTTGTAATTTAAGGTTGACCAGAAATGAAAATATGATTTTTCACATAACCTGGCCATGAGAAAGAGCTCGAGACGCTGAAAAAACAGCGGTGAAACGTCCAGAGAAACAGTTCAAAAACATTTTGTTTTGTTTGGATAATGTTGTTAAGCCTTTATTGCATACGTTATTTATAAATTCAGAATTTCCTTAGAGTTGGGAAGCTAACGTTCATGCTAACGTTCATGTTCACTCCGGACAGGAGTGAAGTGAATGCCTGTCCCCTTTATGTCTGAAACAATATAACATTAGTTTATGCATATCTCGACCCACGTTCATTTATAGCCGTTGTATTTTGCAACGTTACATATTTAAATAACGTTATAAACGCATGTTCAAGAGAGTCCTAATCATCTGTCGTGTTAGATCGAGGTGCAGGTCTTTATCAAACCTTTAAGTTGCTAATTTAAAGCTTTTTTTTGTTTGCATTAACCTCAAGTTCACACCGATCATGATTTTTTTTATTTCAGAAAATGAAGTGAACGAGGAAGCAGTAGTGTAATAACGTAAGTATTTAGTATTTTGTCTTTCATCTGTATGTTAATAATAATAATAATTATATATATATATATATATAATTTATAACACACACACATATATATATATATATATATATATATATATATATATATATATATATATATATATATATATATATATATATATGTGTGTGTGTGTGTGTGTGTGTGTGTGTGTGTGTGTGTGTGTGTGTGTGTGTGTGTGTGTGTGTGTGTGTGTGTATACTTTTTGCCCAGGAATTCATTGTGCAGTCTTCAATTTAATCTCCCTTTTTCTATGAACTGTAAAGTGAAGTGTTAAAGTTAAGTTTGAATTTTTATGATTGTCATTATTATGGACTTATATTTGATCCAATAGGTGATTGCTGCAATTGGTGAGGATGCATCATCTTTTGAGGGTAATGTGAATGTCCTGCGTATCCAGTGAAATAAGGTGTGTGACCCTTTATTAAAGACACCCTTGTCAGTGAGATCCCACATTTTAAATCAGTTCTCAGTTTAAATTAAATGTTTTATGTCAATATAAGCCAAAGTGTAGGATCAAATTACTATTATAAATGTTATGACTATTGTAAAAATATTTTAATTTTCAAGCTTTGTGGTGAACACATATGTGCATTCAAGCTTACAACTATATGTTGAGTGATAACTAAAGGGAAATGGCAACACAGAATATTAGATATAGTTTTTATTTAAAGTGAATCACTAATTTCCTTTTTCTTTATTATAGTCATGGTGAACCTGACTGATTGCATTCATCTACCATCTCCAACCAAGTCAGAGCTTCAAGGACAGCTTGTGCTAAAGGTGCCTGAGCTTGATTAAGAAAAAAGCATCTCCACTGGCCAAAGTCTACAAAAAAGCAAGAGAATAGAAGTTTGCAGATGATACAACAGGTATTAACATAAAACTTACATAACAATAATTTTGCTAGATCAAACCTTTATTTCTTGGATGGGATCATTAAGTGCCTTTTCAAGCTTCATTTAGCAAGTTCAAACTCATAGGCCTTATATACAAACCCTTTATATAGAGAACATTTCTCAATGTTTTTCTTAAAAAAAATGTAATTCATAAAAATACATTAAATATCTTTTAGTCAGCATTTGCTAAAGGTTCCAATATTTTTTTTTCTTTATTTTAAAAACTTTATATTATTAAATTATTTAAGAGTACTTCATTATTTGTCTTTATTTTATTTTAAGGTGGCGCAGTGGGTAGCACGATCGCCTCACATCAAGAAGGTTGCTGGTTCGAGACTCGGCTGGGTCAGTTGGCATTTCTGTGTGGAGTTTGCATGTTCTCCCCTTGTTGGCGTGGGTTTCCTCCGGGTGCTCCGGTTTTCTCCACAAGTCCAAAGACGTGCTACATGTGGATTGGGTAAGCTAAATTGGCCATATGTATGTGTGTGAATAAGTGTGTATGGGTGTTTTCCAGTGATGGGTTGCAGCTAGAAGGGCATCCGCTGCGTTAAACGCATGCTAGATAAGTTGGCGGTTCATTCCGCTGTGGCGACCCCAGATTAATAAAGGGACTAAGCCGAAAATAAAATAAATGAATGGATGATTTTATTTTACAATAGATTCAGACTTTCGTGCTGCTCTAATTCTGCTCCCCCATATCTTTAAAGAGAAAGTTGATTGCTTACAGTAATTACACTGGAAGAGGTTTGGGTACTGTTGGTTAAACACTTTGTAATACTCTGATAGATGTTATGCAGTTCTGACAGATTTTACATTGTTTATTGATGTCTTTGTTCTTTTTCTTTTCACAGTGGGATGATGATGATGCTCCATACCCACCTCTACAGATGGTTGAAAGTCCTTTGCAAAGTGTTGGAGAATAGGAGTTAAAAGGCATTATTACATCCTTCGCCGTTTACTGTGTTTTCAACTTGGCTTATCCACGCTACATAAAGAATGCAAAGGATGAACATCAGCAACTCCCCAAGATGGAACAACAATTTAAATTTGAACATCAGCAACGGTGTGAAGATGGAGATCAAAATTACAAGAAAAACAACTCAGTGCAGCTGTCCGAGAGAACTGGTATTGCTGGATCTGCATCAAACAGCAATGCTTGGATCTTTGCATTTACTTTGGTGCATGCGTTTCGAGTCTGTGCATCAGTAATTTAAGACTAGCAGCTATAGACATTTCAATAACATTGCCCAAATCAACTGAGAAGCACAAGATGACACAATGCTAAGAATTTTTTCCGCCCAACATCCTTGATGAGATTGACACATTCAGGTGTTCAAATTGAACTGTTTTCGTGTGCATGTGAGACTGCTAATGGAGTAGAAATGACTCTTTCCTAATGAAATACATTTTAAATGTCAATACTGCACTGGTTTCTGTGTGGCAAGTTTATAATACTGCTGTTGTATGATTCATATTTCCATGCAAATACACTAGGAGTTGACTTTGAATGGGGTGTTATAAACCAAGACAGATGGACTTTCAGGCTCTTGAAACATACTCTGCTGATAAACTGTTTAGGAAAGTTTAGAAATTTTAAATCAAATGTGTAATACTGTTTGATCAAATGTGTTTTTGAGATCTAAAATGATTAAGGGTATACAGTAAGTGACATGTTTCAATTTACTGTATGGAAAAAGATTGCTTGGAGATTCTTGATGCTTTTAGAAAAATGTAGAGTGCAGTGCACTAGCAAAAATGTACTTCATGAGGTCTAGTGCTGTTTTAGAAAGATTACTTTGTTACATTGGTAAAAATGCTCAGTGAAATGGGATGTACTGGTGTTAAAAATAATATTAAGCTTTTTTGCTGTTTCATAAAATGTTTTAAAATGTTTAAGCAGCTATTTTTTAAGTTTATGCATCTGGTATGACATTGTGATAGTTTAAAACTTTCATCTTCTAAAAAGGTGACAATGTAATTGTTTTGAATCTTTCAATGAGTGTTTGTGATAATGTTACAAGTATAAAAGTACAATTATCGTGCAGTTTGTACTCATGGAAAAATATTGCTTTTTATTCTTTTAAAATAATGTAATGTTTAAACATTCATCCTGTAAAAATGTTGATATTTAATGTTTAATAAATGTGATAAATGAAATTTAATGTGTATGGAGTACAATTCTGAAATGAAAGGGTACAAAATTAATCCCTATGGAGGATAAATTGTACCTTTTTTAAAGGTACATTATTGTACCATAGCCCAAGTAAGGTACAAATTAATCAGCAGAGGTACATATTTGACCCATTAAGGTACATATTGCTAGGGTACAAATATGTACCCATGTGAAAGGGTACAACAGGTGTACCCTTGAGGGTACTGCCCCAGTGACAAGCCATTGTACCCCTAAAGGTACAAATTTTGCACATTTTTTCTGACAGTGTATGTTCAAGAAATAAATAAACGTTTCAAGGGGAAATAAACTTTTACTTTTCCCCCCTACATTTGTGTAATTTTATATACATTTATTTATTTGCATATGGGGAAAAGTCTATGGCAGGGTATTGGAGAGGAGGATCCGGCCAATGGTTCACCCTAGGATCCAGGAGGAACAATGCTCTTACCCCTCATGCCACTGCTGTTCTCGTTCATAGCCTTGTCACATCTCGTTTAGATTACTGCAACTCTCTTTTCTTTGGTCTCACTCATAAATCTCTCCGTAAGCTTCAGTTGGTCCAGAACTCAGCTGCCCATATCATCACCAGAACCCCTTCTTCTCATCACATCACCCCTGTCCTGCAGCAGCTTCATTGTTTGCCTGTTCATTTTCAAATTGACTTTAAAATCTTGATGTTAACATTCAAAGCCATCCACAATCTCGCCCCTCCATATTTGTCTGCCCTCATCCACATTTCTGTTCCTTCTCGCACTCTGCGATCTTCTTCCTCCCTCCACTTGTCTGGTCCCTCTTCTCGCCTTTCAACTATGGGCAACAGAGCATTTAGCCGCTCTGCTTCGCGACTCACTACCACCTGCCATCAGAAACATTGACTCGCTTACACTGTTCAAATCAAGACTCAAAACCCACTTATTTAAGATGGCTTTTAATACCTAATTTTATTTGCACTATTGCTGTGAATATTTTATTATTTCTCTTGTTGTTTTATTGCTCTTGTTGATTGTACGGTGTCTTTGAGTTGCTCGAAAGGAGCCTTTAAATAAAATGTATTATTATTATTATTATTATTAATGCGGTTTTCGTCCGGGCCGTGGTACACTGGACCAGCTCTATACCCTCACCAGGGTCCTTGAGGGTTCATATTAGTATGCCCAATCAGTTCCTCAACAGATCGCCAATCAGAGGCGATCTGTTAAGGGGCCATCTCGTCCCTGTATGAACAGAGTAGGAGTCTGGTTCACATTGCCGGCAATAGGTCAGATTTGTTTCCAATGCATGTTAGACTTTGGCAGTGCTGCCCTTTGTCACCAATTCTATTCATAATTTATATGGACAGAATTTTAAGGCATCCTTGGGCTGGAGGGGGTCCGGTTCGGGGACCACAGGATTTCATCTCTGTTATTCACAGACGATGTTGCACTGTTAGACCTTACCGGGTTTTTTTTACAGTAGAATACTGGCAACACTGTTGCCAGTTAATTACTGTTACTGAACCATTACAGTGAGTGGCTGGCAACAGTTTTGCCAGTTATTTACTGTAACTGAACCATTAATTAAGTTAAATTAAGTTAATTACTGTAATAGAGCAGCAGGGGTAACTAACTGAAAACTGTACAGTTAATTACTGTATTGTAGTGTTACAAATCACAGCATTATACTGCATACACATTAATAGTATGTCATATATAGTTATTGTAGTGTTACTAAAATTAATCAGTATTCTTAGCTGTTATTTAAAAATAGAAGGCATAACATTTTTCAGACAAATTTATTTTATTGTTTTGGCACCAAACAAATAAATAACAGAAAATGTATAACAAAATGAAGAAATCAGCAGATATAAATATTGTCTTGCATATTACAGGTCTGCACAGTAAGGCTGCGGTCACACTAACGTTTGAGCATGCAAAATTCTGTCATACTGCACTCCGAAGTGGAATTAAACAATGCGAGTAGTTGAATTAAACAAAATAATTAGAGATTGAAAAAGCAAGCCAGAGAGGTCATGTTTTGATCTTTGATTGGTCTCAAGCAATCACATGATGTGATTTCGCATGTCAGCGTTCTCCAAGCTTGAACTTTCCAATGCTGCGAATTATGAAATTTGTCGCATGAGCATGCATTCCAGGTCTGCAGTACTCACATGCGTATGAATGGAAAACTATAGGCAGAATAGTGCAATGTGACCTGGACTTTAAGCTGTAACTCTAATTAAACACACCTGATTAAACTAATTAAGGCTTGTTAGAAATCTACAGGTAATGTTGAAGCAGGGTGGGTACTAAACTCTGCTGCGCTGCAGTTCTCCAGGAACTTGGAGTTTGACCCCCATGGTATACAGCAGGGGTGCTCAATCCTGTTCCTGGAGATCTACCTTCCTGCAGATTTCAGTTTCTACCCATATCAAACATACCTGCCTGTAATTATCAAGTGGTGTTTAGGTCCTAATTAATTGGTTTAGGTGTGTTTGATATGGATAGCAACTGAAATCTGCAGGAAGGTAGATCTCCAGGAACAGGATTGAGCACCCCTGGTATATAGCATACTTTTAAAGCAACTGCCAACATTTATCACAATCACATATCCAATAAACACACACACACACACACACACAAACACAAAGTGCTGCAGTGAAATGTGTTACTCTCTCCTTAATCCTGACCATGCAAAAAAAAAAAAAAAAAAAAACTGAACAGCAAAAAACACAAAATAATTAATTTAAATTTTAAAGTTTTAAATAATTATAAACTGTGTCAAATCTTAATAAAAAGTTTAAAGTAATTATAAAAAACAAAAATAAAGATGGCAACAACGAAAAACCAAAGGATCCAATCTTTTATTGTTATAATTATCTCATGACAACAAACCTTTTTATTGTTTCTAATATCAATTCATAGGTGGAAACACAGCTCTGAAAAATACTTAGCAACAAACTCAACCTGGGACCGGACAGTGGAGCTTTTGTGTGTGGATGGCTATGTGTATCATGTTTTTGTGATTCCCTGTGACGATGTGCACATGTTCCCTTACTGAGATGATGGAATTTAATTTTGACTTAGTTGCCAGAAAGATACATAAAACTGTTAGCATCTGTACATTATGGCAGTATGCAATATCCAATAAATAAATATACTTAAACAAAAGTAATGTAAGAAGTTATATGAGGAGAGGCTAACTAGCTAACAATTTAGCTTTCAAGTACACAATTCAAGATAACAACAATATAACTTAAAACACAGCCTTATTTTAGAAACCCTCAAAACATTTGAACACATTTTATTTACTCATTGTAGATTCTTATTTAAAGCCTAAAACATATCAGACTCTCCATCTGAATTGATGGACAGAGAATAAAACACACTCAGCAGTAAACAAATCAAACACCTGACTCTCTTAAAGGGCCAGCATTTTCTGAAAACTTTTTCTAACATCTTTGTGTTTAGAATAAGACAGACAGCCTGTGGGAGTGTGGTGATGCCTAAATCATTATTTTCTGCCTTTAAAATGCACGTCTCTATAAATAGCATCATAAACCATCAGAGTAGATGGGAGAGTAATTTGCTATTTATTGTCAAAGTTACTATCTGTAATGGGTACATTAAGTAAATTTCTGTAATTTATTCTTTGCACTACACAATTTCATTTAAAGTCTACTCCTATTACAGCAAAACACTGGCTATTTTACAGTTATTTACTGCACAATCTGCAGGGTAACAGTGCAGTTATAGTAATTAAACACACCTGATCTAAATCTAAAGGTAGTGTGTTGAA